GAGGTTTGTAGCCACCTGGGCAAGTCACATGTCACCAGGGGAGCCAGTTGTGCAGCCCGGGAATAGCCGATGGGCCAGCCCAGCGGCAGTCTGGGTAACTGAGAGGCAGCAGAGCAAAGGAGCAGCTGGATTCAGCCTTATCCCACAGGGTCTGGTGCGGGAGGAGCCGCGGGAGAGCCGTTGCACGTACTACAGCGGGAGCAGAGGAACTCACAGCAGCCGAGCGACTGGTGACGCCTCCCTGTCCTAGCTGCGGGAACCACTATCACAGGGCAGGGGGTAGAGCCCCGGAGCTGCCAACAGACCAGAGACCCTGACTTTCCTGATCTCCTGGAACCCCAAACTGTGGACAAGGAAGTTGGGGAGACATGAGGGGAGGGGAGGGTGGGGGGCAGAACAAACTGTGTTCAAGGTCCCATTTGTTTGGGACTGTGACTGATGCAGCCTGAGGTACACAGCGGTGGAAGGCCTTAAACCGTAAATATACGTCCCCAGTTCGACCCGGCCCTTCCCTTTTCTCTCCTGCCCCCAGCAAAGTTCATCCCTTCAAACCTCAGTGCTGGCAAGTGGGTGCAGACTTGCCTGGCAAAGGCGCCCAGAGTGGCTACAGCTTCCCAGACGAGAGTGAGAACAATCGACACCTTCCCGCCCGGCCCAGCCCCGCATTTACAGGCAGGACCAGCCGCAGGCCTGCGCATGGACAAAGGAAAAAGCACCCACGGAAAGACTCTGATTCAGGACCCTTGGGGCTGAGCTGAAGTGAATGCCCTGGACCTGAGCAGTCTGAGCCTGTATAAGAGAAGAAAAAGGGGCCCAAGATGGGATCTGTCATGGTCGGAGGTGATGCTCTGCCCGTGGGAGGGTGTCATGGGAGGTGGGTACCAGCCCTGTGCCCTGGTCAGCCACTGCACGGACTGGCCGCGGGCGGCGGGATCCCTTATTAGACAGGAAAGGAGCTGGGTAATACAGGAGGCTCAGGATTGCAGTTTATGTTTGTCGGTACCCTGGTGTTTCCAGCCCTTCTCTTGGACTCTTTTGCATCTCTGTCTCCAGCTCTGTGAAATAAACCTCCGTTTGGTTTTACTGTGGCCACATCTAAGTGTCGGGTGTGAAGGAGAGCGTGGAACTGAGGCAACGCCCATCACCTGTGGGGGGCGCCGCTGGGAGTCAGCGGATCGGGGGGCACTGCAGGTGTCCAGAGAATGAGAGATGGGGCACGTTAGTGCAGCAGAGAGGGGTGTGTGGCAGGGGATAGAGCAGGGCTTGGGGAGCCCAGAGCGGAGAGTAAGTGCTGTCAGTATCTGGCAGTTAACGGTGAATTTCCCCCAACTGGCCCCAGGCTCGTCTCTCCTACACTGTGAGCAGGGGATAGTGGTTCACCCTGGACACCTTGGGTAAACTCACAGTGTCACAGGCAGATCCCACCTCTCCGAGCGATGGGCTCAGGCTCTCTGCAGACTCAGGCAGTGACGCTGTGTCAGTTACACTGGGTGCAGTTCACACCTCTCTGAGCTGCGGTTTTGGGCTCTCTGCAGACACAGGCAGACATTCCTGCTCTGATTGCCCTTGAAGGAGAAAAAGGAGCAGGATACTGGTCAAGTGACCAGTGAACTGGAGCAGTTTCGTACCCAATAGCAGGGAAAAGCCCGAAAAAGGAAATGCTCCTGGAGCCCTCTACAGCTGTCAGCTTCAGAACAACCTCTCGTGACAGCAATGTCCTCACTGAGAAAACCGCCGTGTGACTCTGCAGCTGTCACCCAGCCACTGCACGCCAGCATCCGCTCAGTGCTGGTTGTACGTCCCCTGAGAAACATTGCAACGGGGCAGGGCTTTTTGAGGGCTTTGCTTGCTCTCTTCTTTTGCAGACAGTATGAATTCTGCTAACCCGCTTGTTTCTCGGAAAGAGCAGTTCCCACACTGCTTTCGGTTTCCACCTGCGGGAGACAGGAAACAGACCCGGTGGAGGGTGGAGGGTGTCACAGCTAGGTACTGATAAACATCTAAACCTGACAGCTCTCACCGATGGCTCTGCAGCTCTTCCTAGCGTGATCGCTGCCCTCTGGCCTCGAAGCCTGGGATCCACAGCGAAGACATTGGGATGTTGAGAAGTGAGATGCCCTTAGCAGGGATCAGAGTTAGCACCACGTTCTGGATTGGGGCCAGCTTGCTCCCCTCTCAGAGCTGATGGGCCAGGCTCTCTGCAAACCCAGGGGAGTTTAAGGAGTGGTCCAGCCTGCATTGAAAGCACATTAAACACAGGGAGACACGATTCCCTGGCGTCGCCCTGGGGTAACAGTCCCATGCAGAGCGAGCCAGGGAGCTCAGTGTGGGGCATCCGGACCGGCTCCAGATGAAGCCAGGATGAGTTGTTAGCCCTTCCCTGCCCAGACGTCATTGCCAGCGTGTCCCTAAGGAGCGCCAGGTCGGCAGGGCCGCTCTGAGAACCCCACTCTGGGCAGGGACCCTTCATTCCTCGGCTCCCCCCACGGGCCCTTTGGCCGGGTCTGGTGGAAACGCATGTGCTTTAATGGGCACTGGAAGTGCTGGAGTTGTGATTCCCCTGGACCTAAACAGTTTGGCCAGAGCCCTAGCGGAGAGAAAGCTCCTCGTCAGCTCGACACCTTCAGGGAGTCACCACTACTTCTCCCTCCGGAGACCACACCCCAGCAGCTGCCTCTTCTCAGAAATGTGGGATTTCTGGAACTGAAACAAAAACCCTCAGCAAATATTCAACTCTCCCAGAGCTGGGTAACAGTCACCCAGCTCCCGGGGCGGAGATGCAGCCACTTCTGGGGCAGGGCAGGTGGGGTGCAGCCATGAATAATGTTGCACAGGGATGGCTCACCCAGCACTGAGCTGCAGCCACCTCTGGGATAGAGCAGCTGGGGAACAGCCGCACATAACACCACACCGTGAGGGCTCACAACTGTGAAAATGTAAATCAGTAAAAACTGAGAGAAAATATAGATTCATAGATATTAAGGTGAGAAGGGACCATTCCGATCATCTAGTCTGACCTCCTGCACAACGCAGGCCAAAGAATCTCACCCACCCACTCCTACAAAAAATCTTTCACCTATGTCTGAGCTATTGAAGTCCTCAAATCGTGGTTTAAAGACTTCAAGGAGCAGAGAATCCTCCAGCAAGTGACCCGTGCCCCATGCTACAGAGGAAGGTGAAAAACCTCCAGGGCCTCTTCCAATCTGCCCTGGAGGAAAATTCCTTCCCGACCCCAAATATAGCGATCAGCTGAACCCTGAGCACATGGGCAAGATTCACCAGCCAGATACCCAGGAAAGAATTTTCTGTAGTAACTCAGATCCCACCCCATCTAACACCCCATCACAGGCCATTGGGCCTATTTACCATGAATATTTAAAGATCAATTAATTACCAAAATCATGTTATCCCATCATACCATCTCCTCCATACACTTATTGAGTTTAATCTTAAAGCCAGATAGGTCTTTTGCCCCCACTGCTTCCCTTGGAAGGCTATTCCAGAACTTCACTCCTCTGATGGTTAGAAACCTTCATCTAATTTCAAGTCTAAACTTCCCAATGACCAGATTATATTAATTAAAATATGCTTCAAAATCCATCAGAATTATAAGACAAGTAAAAATTGGATTCTGCCAAACTGTGCCAGGCCTTGCCACGGCGGCTTTTCCCAACAGACACGTGCCGGGACGTCGACTCGTCGTTCCAACGGTCACTGTTTTCTGATACGTTCGGGAGGCAAATGTCACAGTCTGGAAAAATCCCGGTTTCCAGTCCAGAAACCACTTGGATGGGAAATTTCTGCCCCGCCCCCTCACTGGCTGTTTTGCAGCTCATCTGAGCTTGGAGCCGGGCAGTGAGGACAGGTGCAAGGTGCTGTGAGTAGCGCCTTGTTTGGGGGTCTCCAGTGGGTGGTTCCAGCTGTGTAAGGAGTTCTGGGGGTGTCACCAATTTCCCCTTCCCCAGGTCAACCCCCGATACACCAGTGCTGAGGGGAGAGGCCCTGGGCAAGAGTCCAGGGAATGTGCCCAGGCTCGGCCCATGTGCCAAACTTAGTGGGGGTTTTAGCTGTCCCTGTCCCAAAAGAAAGGGGAAGGATTGAAGAGAAAGTACCAATGGGGAGAGGCCAAAGCTCCCAGTCAGCCTGATTGACAGGGCAGGCGGGCCAATGAGGGAGTCAGGAGCCCAGAGGCCTGTTCTCTGTGTGAGCTGGAGCTGCCTGAGCCAGAAGAGGGCAGAGTTAAGGGGAAAGCAGCAGCCTGAGCTGGGCTGGAGGCTGAGCTGTGGCTGTGCAGAGCCGGGAGCTGGGACAGCGGAGACCAGGGATACAGGGTCGACCTGCAGGAGGAGCCGTGGGGCCAGAGTCGGGATACCGGACGCTGGCCGTGCCCCATGTAACACTGCAGCTGAGCCTGGTGAGTGGCTGGGGAGAGCGGGGTGGTGGGGGGCTGGGCAGGGAGACGTCGCCTGATGAGGGGCCTCACTGGCCATACTCGGAGGACATGAACTCACCAGGCGGACCAATGCTGGGGAGAAGGGTTCCTGCCCCCCTAGAGCCTGAGGGCATAGGTGCCGAATTTCTAATCTGCCAAGGGGGGCTCTGCCCATGCCCCACCCCCACTCCACCCCTTCCCCCAATGTCCCATCCCTGCCCTGCTTTTTCCCACTCCTGCTCTGCCCCTGCCCCTTCTTCCTGCCCCCTCCCCTGAGTGCGCTGGGCCCTCGTGCCTCCCCCCAGTGCCACGGAACAGCTGATCCGTGGCAGGGGGAGCTGCTGGGAGGCAGGAGGCGCTGGGAGGAGGGAGAGGAGCTGATGGGGGGCTGCCGGCGGGTGCCTAAGCCTGAGGACGTGTGGGCACCGCCAGAGCAAAGGTCTGACCCGTGGTAAGACTGCAGCGCAACCAGGGCCTGGGCAGGAGGCCTGGGACATGTGAGGAGCAGACTGTGAACTTTCCTTCCAGCCCCATAGATGGTTGTTTCTAGTCTCCCGGGGCCCTTTGGGTGGGGCCCCTTGTTCCTTGAACTGTGCCCATTTTCCCCTCTGGGTCAAGGGATCTGGTGCCAGGACTCAGATCCGTTCGCCGTCCAGTGCTACTGGGGGCCTGCAGAACCAAACCGGTCTAGGGAGCCGCCCCAAGAGCCCGGCCTCGCTCATGGCTCCGGGTTACAAAACTAGAGAGTGAAAGTGGAACTGAGCAGGCAGCGGCCAGCCGGGCTCTGTGCAGAGCCAGACACGCAGAGAGCCAGGGAGGCGGTGGGGGACACCCAGAGACAACCGGAGAAATTGAATTAACCGCAGGGTCTGCGCTGGAGTCTGCTCACCAGGGTGAGCTACAGGGGAAGAGGGAGCCCAGGGCTGGGCTAGGTGGGGGCTGCGGGTCGGGAGTGAGGGGCACCGGCAGGGCTGGGGGGGGCAGGGCTGGGCTCACAGGGGGCTAAGGGTCGGGAGTGAGGGGCACCGGCAGAGCTGGGGGGCAGGGCTGGGCTAGCAGGGGGCTGCAGGTCGGGAGTGAGGGGCACCGGCAGAGCTGGGGTGGGGGGGCAGGGCTGGGCTAGCAGAGGCTGTGGGTCAGACATCAGGGGCACTGGCATGGTTTGCTCTGGCCAGATGCCATTTATCCAGAAGCCCCAGTGCCCTGTAAGCAGGGGTGGGGGGCGGATTCAGGAGGCCCAAAACAGCCCCCCTCTAATAAGAACTGGACCAACTGCAGCTGGCGTTTCCGAGGCCCCTTGGCCGGCTCGTACAATCTCACCCCACAGCTGAACCCACATCCTGGCGGGTCGGGTGCTTCTAGCGGGCTGAACTGGGAGGTGGGGGGGAAGCAATGGCTGTATCATTCCCTGAACTCCCAGGGCCCCCAGGAATCCCAAAACCCCAGAAGCAGAGAGACACTTGCCAGCCCTGCCCCAAAATGGGAGTGGCCATCGCACAACAGCCGAATGGAAACTTACCCAGCCAAGTGGTGAAAACTAACAATAGAGCCCGGGAGTCCTGGCTCCCAGCCCCTCTGCGGTAGCATCTTAGCCCCGGTGTTCCCATGTGCTAGCTACTAACCCAGTGGATCTCCCCAGGCCTGTGGGGTCAGGGGGATGGAGCAACTCTGGGAGGACGTCACCTGCTCCATCTGCTGGGACGTGTTCAGCGACCCCGTCTCCATCGAGTGCGGCCACAACTTCTGCCGGGGCTGCCTCTCGACTCACTGGAGCGAGGTCTCAGCCCAGGGGCACCGCTGCCCGGAGTGCCGGGCTTCCTGCTCCAGGGACAGGATGATCCCAGACACACGAGTCAGAAACCTGGTGGAGAAAATCACCGAACACCTGCAGGAAGAGCCGGAGCCGGTGAGACCAGACGGGCTGGATAAGGGGAAAAGGAGCTTTCTCTTGTAGGGGATTCTGGGCCCAATCCAGCCCCAGGGCAGAGACTGCCTGGCTCAGGGGAGCAGGGAATGGGACATGGGGCCTTTTCCCCTTTAGAGGGTGCCAGCCCTGATCTGGCCCCAGAGTGGGGACTGGCTGGCTCAGGGGGTGGGGAATGGGACACACAGACTCAGACTGGTAGGCCAGAAGGGACCATCATAATCATCTATTCTGACCTCCTGCACATTGCAGGGCACAGAACCCCACTCACCCTCTCCTGTAATAGACCCAGAACCTCTGGCTAGTCACTGACGTCCTCCAGTCATGGTTTAAGGACTTCCAGTTACAGAGACTCCACCATTTATACTAGTTCAAACCTGCAGATGACCCGTGCCCCATGCTGCAGAGGAAGGTGAAAAACCCCCAGGTCTCTGCCAGTCTGACCTGGGGGAAAATTCCTTCCCAACCCCAAATATGACGATCAGTTAGACCCTCAGCATGTGGGCAAGACCCACCAGCCAGACACCTGGGTGTCTGTAGTAACACAGAGCCCTTCCCATCTAGTGTCCCATCACTGCCCGTTGTGGGATATTTGCTACTGGCACTCGCATTTGGGCTACATGCCATCGTAGGCAGTCTCATCAGACCATCCCCTCCATAAACTTACCAAACTCAGTCGAGAAGCCTCCAGAGCCGGGTGGCTGGAGAGCGGCGGCTGCTGGCCAGGATCCCAGCTCTGAAGGCAGAGCCACCGCCAGCAGCAGCGCAGAATAAGGGTGGCCTGGTACGGTATTTCCACCCCTACTTCCACGCTGCTGCTGGCGGGATGCCGCCTTCAGAGCTGGGATCCCAGCCACCAGCCGCCGCTCTCCAGCCGCCCAGCTCTGGAGGCAGTGCAGAATTAAGGGTGGCAATACTGTGACCCACCGAAAATAACCTTGAGACCCCGCTCCTCCCCCTGCAACTCCCTTTTGGGTTAGGACTCCCAATTTGGGAAATGCTGTTTTGCCCATGAAATCTGTATAGTTTAGGGTAAAAGCACACAAAATAACAGATTTCCCAGGTGAAGACCAGATTTCACCATCTGGGAGGCATTTTTCATGGCTGTGAATTTGGTAGGACCCTAGATATTACCCTTGACTTTTGCAGATTAATTAGAAATCCTTGCTATTGGGCTTGCAATTTCATGTGCTAATTTCCTTAATATTCGAGGATGGAAATGATCCAGGCCCCCCAGTTTGCTCCCATTAAGTTGTTTGACTCTGGTTTCCGTTTCAACCAATTCAGTGACAATTTCTACTCCCGTATTCTTGTTCTCATTAGCTATCTGGCCACAAGCTTCTCCTTATGCTTCTTAAAAACTGAGGCCATGCCCATATCTTTAGGTGTTGGCCCATGCAGCCTGTATCTTTTATCTCCACCCCATCCTCAGCGCTTAGTGGTCCCACTTCTTCTTTCCTTGTTTTCTTTTTCTTTATGAGGCTAAAGAACGTTTTCCTGTTGGTTTTAATTTTTTTGCAAGTTCAAATTCTGCTTGGCCTTTGGCAGTTCTCATTTTATCCCGACATGGATTCCTCCCAGTTTCCATTCCTCAGAGGCTTTCTGCTTTCTCTTAATCACCTCTTTGAAATCCTGGTTCACCCAGTTTGCTCAGCAACCCTTCCCTATGGGCTTTTTCCTGGATGCAGACTGCAGAGAGTTCCTGCATCTTTGACAAACCCTGTCCACATCCAGATGTGCAGGCCAGGTCACTTCCCTGCCTAATTCCCTTAATTTTTTGCAATCCAGGATCTTCAGCTGCCGACCTGTTTTCGTTTATCCTTCCATTTAGTTAAATGGAATTAGCTCATGGCCACTTGAACCAAGGCTGTCCTCTACAGCCAGTTCTTCAGTGCGGTCCTCGCTACTTACCGATACTAAATCTAAACTGGCATCACCTCTTGTTGCTTTGGTCACTGATGAAAAAACCTCTCAGCTGTCTCACCTCCAGGATTATCTGGGCCCTGCCATGATGAGCAGCACTTCTCCAATCTCTGTCACAAAAATTAAAGTCTCCCATGATCACACAATTCCCAGTGGTATTTATTTCATTCAAGCTATGAAAGGGGTCTCCATCCATATCCAAACCAGATCCTGGGGGTCTGTAGCAGACCCAAGACACTCTCCCAGGGGAGCCCCTGGTACCTTTCTTCCCCACAGTGATCTTGACCCAAAAAGATTCTGTTTCACCCATTTCATCCCTTCTCATTTCTTTCCACTCCACCTCTTCATTAACACACAATGCTACTCCGCAACCTCTGCCTTTTGTCTTTCTTCCCTGTACCCCGGTCATGGCTGCTACTGCACCATGTGTCTGGTTTCCTGTCCCACACCCGTAGTTTTAGTTCCTTCCCTTTTGTCACCCGGGCTCATCCCGTTGCTGGGCAGACACCTCACTGCTTCCACTTGGCTTTGCTGCCGGTATCGGCCACCTGACTCTCAGCGTCGGTGCTCTTGGCACTATCGTTCCTCTTCTCATCTCTTCTCCTGCCCTCTGTCGTTCCTTTCTCCGTTGCTCCTACCCTCTCCTCCTGCCTCCTGCTCGGTGTGAGAATCAGGCCTGGAGGTTCCATGAGCATCTCCCAGAGTTCCTAGTTTAAAGCCCTTTTCATCAGCTGTGCCAACCTCCACCCCGGAAGTGTATCCCCCACCCTGTTCAGGTGGCGTCCGTCCCATGAGACCAGTCCTCTGTCCGTGAACGCCTCCCCGTGACCGAACATCCCCACGCCCACCTTAGCCCCACTGCCTGAGCCACCTGTTGATCATCAGCGTCTTGTCTCACCTTTGCTCTTCTCCAGGGACAGGTAGAATCCCACTGAAGATCCCCTCCAGGGAGTGCTGCCCCTGATCCAGCCCCAGGGCAGGGGACTGGCTGGCTCAGGGGGTAGAATGGGGCACAGGGCTCTGATCCAGCAGGGAGCAGGGGTCTGGCTGGCTGAGGGGGTAGAATGGGGCACAGGGCTCTGATCCAGCAGGGAGCAGGGGACTGGCTGGCTCAGGGGTGGGGTCGCAGCTCTGACGCTGCTCTCTCCCTGCAGCAGGGGCCGGGGGCTCAGCCGGAGCCGGGCCACCCGGTGCAGCTGGTGCGTCTGGATGAGGAAGAGAACCTGATCCTGGACAAGAAGGCCCTGAGCCGCTGCCTGGAGCAGGGTGGGGCGGGGGACGCCCCCGTCTGCGTGGTGTCCATCGTCGGGGGGCAGCGCCGGGGCAAATCCTTCCTGCTGAACTACCTGCTGCGCCGGCTCCGGAGCCCGGTGGGTGTGAACGGGAACAGGAGTGAGATGGGGTGTGAGCAGCCCCATCCTGCCTCCTGCTGGAGGGCTCAGAGTTGCACATGTGTGTGGGAGTACACACACCTCATTGCATGTCGGTCAGCCTGTCTGCCTGGGACTCTGTCTGGTAATATTGTCTGTCTGTCTGTCTATCTGTCTGAACCCGAGCAAGTCTGTCTTTCTGTCTGTGTGTCTGTCTGGAATGCAGCGTGTCTCTGTGTCTCTGACTGTTTATCTGTCAGAATCTGAGCACGCCCATCGCCCTGTGTTCCTCCCCGCCCCACCCTAGTAAATTAACCCCCAGCCCTCTCCCAGGGCTTACAGTCTGGAGGTGTGGGGGGACCAGTCACTCTTCTCCTCCACCCTGCACTGACCCCTCTCCCTGCATGTTCCTTTCCGGCAGGACGCGAGGGACGGGTCGTGGATGGGCCAGGAGGATGAGCCCCTGGAGGGGTTCGAGTGGCGCGCCGACATGCAGCAAGTCACCAACGGGGTGTGGATTTGGAGTCAGCCCATCTGGGTCCCCACCCCGGGCGGGAAGGTGAGTGGGGCACTGGAGGTGCATAGGAAAGGGGGAAGGAGACATGGGGATGCTGGGAGAAGGGAAATGGGGGAAAGGGCTGGGAACAAAGGCAATGGGGAAATAGGGAAGGATGGAGACATGGGGAAGGAGGCCCCAGGGGAATCTGATGGAGTCATAACGGGGGGGAATGGAGAAGAGCAAGAGGAGGGAGCTAACACTGGGGTGGGCAAAAATGAGATGCCAGGGGCCATGGGGCGGAGCAGGGGGCAGGCTCTGGGGGCGGAGGGGCCGTGGGTGGCTGAACAAAGCCGGAAACTGACCTGGGGCTCTCCCTCTTGGCCCCCAGGTGGCCGTGCTGCTGGTCGACACCGAGGGCTCCATGGGCATTGAAAGGAAGAAGGAGAACAGCATCAAACTCTCCGCCTTCTCCGTGCTGCTCAGCTCCTATCAGGTTGGGGGTCCCCGGGGGGGCGCTGTGCTGCAGAGCACAGTCTGGGGGCTCCGCAGGGGACATTTCCCCCAGCAGTCCGGGCTGGCCCCAATGTCTCACTGGGGCACTAGGGGGCGCTGTGCTGCAGGGAGTGGGGCAGGGGCTCAGCAGGGGGCGCTCTCCCCTGGCAGGCAGGGCCGGCCCCGATGCCCCCTGCGGCACTAGGGGGCGCTGTGCTCGGGGCGGGTGACGTGGCTGGGAAGGGGCCTGGGGCGGCCGGCCCTGCTCATTGCTGTAGCTCTGTCTGTCCCCTGGCTATCTGCAGATACTGAATATTTCGAATGAGGTGAACGACGCGGATCTTGAATACCTGGAGGTGAGGCCGGGCAGCCTGACACAGAACGTGGCTGGGCCAGGTTCTCCCATTAGCCCCACAGGGTTATTATCCCTCCCCATAGCTCCTGTGGGGAAACTGAGGCCCAGATAAAGAAACCGACTCTCCCACGGTCACGTGGGCTTCTGGATTCAGCACTGTCACCCTTAGCCCAGCCTGGCTGTCTGCTTCCAGGTGTCCAGCATGGGCCCCTGGGTCAAAGTTAGGACCCCGCCCTCCCCTCCAGCCCAGCTCCACAGTCAGTGGGAAGTCTGCTGGGGCCAAGTCCTTGGGCGGTTGCTCTGCCCCCTGATCTGCTCTGCTCTTACCCAGCCCCAGCCCCACCGGGTCGAGCCCCTGGCCGTCACACCCTTAGTGACATCTCTGCCACCTGCGACATACTGCGTGTCCTGCCCCTTTACTGCACCCCAGGGGGGACTCTCTGTGCGGGGGAGGGGTTGGCTCTGGGAGGGTTTTTATCTGTCCACACGGCCCTGGGTCCAATGGGGGGCAGAAACCTGGTTAACGTGGAGCTAGAGCAGTCCAGGGAGAGCTCGAGTAATCGCCATGTGGCCGAGATTGTTGGAGGCGCGAGCAGAGCCGTGGTGTCACCCCCGGGGCTGGGCAAACAGTGCTGGTGGCGTCTGTCAGCCGGAGGCAATGGGGCTCTGTGGGTTGGAGGGTTCATCTCAGGAACCCCTCAGGGAAAAGACCTCACATTGGGCTCACTGACCCACCCCCCACCTCCACGGGGCGCCCTGGAGTGAAGGAGGGAGCCCTGGAACAAGACTGGCTCCTCTGTGGGGCACAGGATCCCACAGCCGCCCCCACCACCCTCTTGGCCGGGGGCATCCCACTTCTCTTTCCACCCCGTGGAAAATATCTCCATCTCTCTCCAGCTTCGTTTTGCACTCGCTGGGCCTCGCTCTCTGCGATGGGCGGAGGGAGCGGCTCAGATGGGGATGGGGGGCAGCGATCAGGCCCCTTTCTGTTCACCTGCAGGATGACCCCGCAGTGTAAATGCCTCCCATGCCCCAGACTCGTCCCCCACCCCTGTTCTCTTTGCTCTACAGATGTTTGTGCGTGTGGCCGAAGAGGTGGGAAAAGCGTACGGACTGAAGCCTGTTCAGGTGAGACGGCTTCCGCCATCCTCACCCGCCCTGCCCCATGTATCCCCACATGGCACCCCCTCCCCTGCGGGCATTGGGATAGGGACGTTATGGGTAACTCCGCTGCTGCGGCTGACAATACTTATAGACACAGCACCACCCCGTATTCACCATGAGGGGGCCTCCGTCATGCCGCTGGCCAAGATCCGTGAGAACAGCGACCTGCCTTTGTACACAGGCCTCTTCAGCTCCCTGCCAGCCCCCCTGTCTTGTAGACTCCCTTCAGGGTCATTTCCGCCACTACAGGACATGACAGTGCAATCGCCTCGGTGCAACGAGTGGTCAGCGATGACCGTCATTAATCACTGACCCCACCATTGGTCCACCACATTTCGAGCTGCCAAGGCACCTGGGCTGGTTCCTAACAGGACAGGGCAATTGTGCAGCCCGTCTCTTCAGATGGGGTTTCTCTGATGACCAGGGATGTAGCTGTGGTCAACTTCAGCCTATGTCGCATATCCTTGACGAGTGCCCACGGACTTCGAGGGTGGGCTACTGGCTCTGCACCTGGCTGATGACTATGCTGTCAGATGGCTGGGGACTTTGAGCATATGCTGAAGACCCCTCCCCCACTCCACAGCCTGCTCCAGCCCCATGCACCCTCTGCCCCATTCCCTCGGGGCTGAGGTCTTCCCTCCAGACATCAACCTTCTCCCCAACCCAGCATCCCCCCACCCCCAGAGACCCTCACTCCCCTCCTGTCTCCCCTGCAGCATCTAGACCTGCTGGTGCGGGATTGGAGCAGCTCCCCGGACCTTGGAGCCGAGGGTGGGGAGCAGCATCTGAGACACATCCAAGAGGTGACTGTGGGACTCAGAGAATGGAGGAATGGGACATGGGGCCTTTCCCCTCGAAGGGATGATGGCTCCAGTGTTTCCAACCTGGGGGAGGTGGGACCGCAGGGAGGTTGTGTGATGGTGGGGGGGGTCCCAAGTGCAGGGCTGGAGTTAGGGTGTGGCAAGCAGAATATTTGTCCAGGGCCCTGCACCATAGGGGACCCTGCAAAGCTAAATTACTTGCTTCAGCCCTGGATGTCCGGGCCTCAGGCATCGGCTTCAGCCCACAGCGGCCGGAGCTGAAGTTGAAGTCCAAGTTTAAGGTGGAAGTCACCATTTTTTTTCAAGTACAGGGGTCCAGATTGTCTATTAAGGCCAAAGGGAGTCACCAGCACAACCAGGCTGAGAAACACTGGGCGTGAGTTTAGCTGATGACGTCTCCAAAGAATCCATCCGCATGGAACAACCTCCAGCCGGTGGCTGCAGATGCAAAGCTGGACTTTCCCTGCAATTGCTTCTCCAGGCCGGGCACCTGTTGCTGCCCTACGCTCAATGAGCCCAGGCAGCGTGGAGGGGGAAGCAGCTTGATTGCAAAGGGGAGAGGAGAAAAACCAGGCCGGGGGAGTGAAAGGAGCGGGGTGGGACAAGAAGTCTGCAGAGACTGGGACCTGGGGTGGGGAGACAGGGGCTTGGAGCGGGGAGACTGGGACTGACGGACACTCCTTTCGCTTCCTGCCATCCCCTGCCTTGTTCACTGCCCCCCTTCCAACATCTACCACAAATGAGGCCGGGCCCCTCCAAACCCTCTCTGACTGCCTGGCAGGTCTGGCTAATGTTAACACAGGTGTTTGTGTGTCAATGTAACCATTGCCCCTGGCTCTGGCAGATTCTGGAGGCGAGGTCCCCTTGCAAACACCCCAAGGCCCTGGAAGCGCTGAAGAGAAGCAGCAGCCGCTGTTACCTGATGCCCTTCCCTGGCAGAGGGATCACGATGGGGAGCGAGGGAAGGCTGAGAGGTAACGGACCCAGGACAGCAGCTCTAAGCCCCCTGCCCTGTGCAGAGCAATGTGACTGGGGCGCTGATCATGCCCGTGCGTGGTAGGTAGAGAGAAGGGGGATCAGACAGGCCCTGTATTCCCCCACCATCGTCCATCTCTCTCCCCTTTGCAGACATGGATGATGATTTCCGGGGGAGCCTGAGGGACTACGTCACCGCCCTGGTGAGCTCGGCTGGTCAACACATCCGGATGGACCAGCATGGGGAGATGCTCACTGGGACACAGCTCGCTGCCAAGATAAAGGTGGGGACTGGCCAGCTGTGCTGGAGGGAGCAGGAAGGGGATGCTCTCTCCTGCAGTCAGTGATGACCCCAATACCCCCTATTCCCCAGCTGCCCCACCCCAGAGGTGGTTGCATCTCAGCTCCAGGTGAGCTGTCCCCATGTTCCCAGCCTTTCTAAGCCCTGTGGAGTCTGTGACGTGATGATTTGTTTTGGTTCCTTTGCAGAATTTATCTGATGTGATGAAGAACCATCGCTCCGGCTTCTCCTCTCCCTGTCAGGTACCGTCTCTGTCTCTGACCTGATCATGGGGTGTGTCCCCTCACCCGTCCACGTCAGGGTTGGGGCAATGTTGGGATCTGGGTCCATGCTGCGGGAGGTGACTGGGAAAGAGTCTGGGTGAAATCTTATTTTCTTGGACTCCAGGGTAGAAGAATTTCACTAGCCTGGAGAGCTGCTCCACTCCTTGAGACCCATAGCACCAAACCCTGTTTTTCCCCAGGCAACTCCTGTTGGTGTTTAAATGAGAGGAGTTTTTTAGAGCAGGTCTGAAAATGGGGGTGTTTTTCCTGCAGAAAACTTGGAGTTTCCAGCAAAACCCCAAAATATCTCTTGTGTGGAAAGGCCATTGCCACAGCTCTTGGGAATTGTAGGTCTTGTGCCTCACGCTCTCCATTCTCCTCTACGGGTTGGGCACCTGGTGGAACTACTCATCCCATGATGCACTGCAGGTACCAGACACCATCACTCCCCTCCGCAAGAGATAATCATTCTCCTCTGTGGGTTGGTCTTGCAGCTTGCACCACACCTCCCATGAGACCAGCCCACAGAGGAGAATGGGAGGTTAAGGCAACCAAACTACATCTCCCACCAAGCGCCATGGTATCCTTTCCTGGTGAGGGTGCAGTGCATCAAAGCTGCAGGGCACCATGGGAGGTGTAGACTGACCTGAGTGCTGGGGGTAGAGAGGAGATTCAGGCATCCCATGAACCACAATGCATCAGCATCTCCTCTCCTGGTGCATGTATCATGGCCCTGGTGCATCATGGGAGGCACATGCAGTGGCAGGGGAAGGGGGCAGGACAAG